TTTATTCTACAAATGAGATGATCAAATTTCAATCAAACTGTAAACTTCCGTTTTATTAGTGGCGTACATCAAGTCGAGAGTGAAACACTGAATCATTGATAGTTACCATTAAAACACTATCATGGAATTGAGGTGACAAAATTCCCGTACAAATCACAGATCAATATATTTTATCGACCAAGAAATGTAAGATGGATATAGTAATATAATTGATAGAGGTAACGGTCATTTCCGAAGCTATAAAACATTTTTTCATTAGTTTTAAATAAAACAACAACTCATAAGACACAGATGAGGGGATATTGCTATATCACAAACTGACTGAATTCAAAATGTGACCGATAAGATAAGGGAATAGGGTTTAAAGTGAGACAGGAAAACTCTAGGTTTGATCCAGAATGGAGTCATTAGTTGTTATTACATACAGGGATTTGTTGTTTCATCTTAATATTCGATTTCTGTCTAGAATATATACAAATCATGAAAGTACCATTTTCCCTATCTCCAGTTGGCAAGTAAATTATCAACATTGAAATTTTATTGTATGTCTTCTACTGTTCGGTCTATTAGAATTCCTATTTATTTACGTTCATATAAGAAGATTCTTAATAATGTAAAGTAAAAAGAAATACTGTAGACCCTAACAATTACCAATTACAGTCAGTCAGCTACAACGTAGGATCAGGCACATATATACATCGGTCCAAGTTGTCATACCTCATTAGCACAACAAGACGAACACAAAATTCATAGAAGTAGTTAATTTAGTGGTGGTAATATATATAAGAAAGATTGTGTATAAGGAGATAGTACAGGAAAAAAGATATGAAGCGATTTTAATCTCATAGTTTAAAGAAAGACAAAGAGTGTATACACGGAAGCCATTGTGATCGATTCTCCAACAATCGGTTACGTTAGTCACGCGGACTCCAACCAAGTAATCTGTATCTACAAACATGGCTCAGACCAGAGGTTAGTGACTTCAAGCACTGATGCCACATTTTGGTTCGGCTACACTTAAATTGCTTCCAACCATCCCGAATACTAGTCAGCATTGCAATTATTACAGTCATTCATAGAAGACAAACAACAGATTGATTAAAATAATGTAAGTGAAAAAAAAAAGAAATAATGAAGTGAACATTTATTTATTTATAATAAAATAGACAATTACTATACATTGTATGTATCTAATAGATAGATAGATAGATAGATATAGTTTAAATTTCTGCTTTTTTCAATGAACGTATTTTGCGTAATTCACGATATAAAACATTTTGTTGAACAAGTGGATCAAATGCTATTTTCTCTTTACGATTAGTAGTTAAACGTGGTCGAAAACCAACTATACAATGTCCTGAACCACTTGTACTTTCTAATAATACCATAACAATTTTTATAAATCCTTGTGATGTTGACATAAGATAGAAATATGTATTGTATACTTGTTTTATATTATTTAATATTGAGTAAACTCCGTTGATATTATGTAATGGTCTGTAATTAATAAAAATATTGAGAATACATTAATAATAATAATGGTAATAATAACAATAGTAAATTAAAACATTGATTCGTGTTATGTTTATAAATAAAAAGTACGAGACTATTCGTCAAAGACTAGACTTTCTAACTACATAAGAAAAGTAAATGAAAATGGTATTCATAATAATAGAACAGACTAGAGAAATATACCTACTTAGTTAATTAACAGAGAAAAAACTAAACGACAGATTGATGAAAAGAGCACGAACAAAGATTCTAACAGAATAACATGAGCTTTATTTCAATTATCATCCAAATTAATAATCTTATTTACTCACTATATCCTTATCAATGTTTACCTATTATGTAACCACTTGTTTCTAGCCGTTTGAACTGTTTTCACAATCAATGTTGTGCCCCCAAATACCCTGGTACGGCCGAGAGTGGAGAGAGTCCGCTCACCCTCTCGAAATGCTCTCACATGGCCACGCGTATATAGCCTCTGCCAGGGAAGTCCTACTCACTGCCTTCTCGCGTAAGGGTGTTGTTTACCAAATTGAGAAGACGAATAGTGAATGTCCGGCAGTTTAACCGGGTTGATGGACATGGAGAGTCCACCGAGAGGAATTGGAAAACCCTAATTCCAAACCAATGGTGAACATGGGCTCCAGTATCCTGAATGAACAAATGGCGTATGAACCAATGGTTGGTCACCGGCTACCATGCGACTGCATCTCCTCACGATGCTCCACTGCCTTGTGGATCAGACCTTTAGGTCAAAGGCTCGGGGTGTGGCCTCCAAAGAAAACCACCCGCTTCGATTTGGGCAACCGGGCAGTATCACAACCCTCATACAAATCAAATGAGATTTGTGTGGCGCATATGTATTTGGTGCCTCCTTGTACCAATATCTATGTGTTCAAATAAAATAAATAAATAATAAATCAATGTTGTAGAATGTTCTTTTATCACATAAGGTACATATATTTACAATATTCAGTCTATTAATTTTATTTACATCCTTGTTATACTATACGAATATGTCTTCAATATAACTTCCAATCAAACACTCTCATGTAAATAATTTAAACCCATTATGTAATTATGATGTATAAATATCACAAGTTGTAAGCAGCTGATGAGAACAAGACGAAATAAAATGAATTCATGCTATTCTACTAGAACCTTTTAGTTCTTGCTCTTTTCAAAATGATAAACGCAATTATGTGTATGAGATTGACGAAAAATGCTTTTTAATATTGTGTGTACAAATTTTTTTATGTTTGAATTTATGGATAAAATGCGTATCATTAATCCCAACGCCATTTACTGTCAGTAATATCATTACGTTGAAAATATAAGCAATTTCGATAAACTTCAATAAAGAAGCTTATATGTTCTCTGAGCTGGATGTATCCAGTTGAGCTACAAATCTTCTCCACCATCTCAAGACTATTTATATATTGAACCCTGAGAATATTAACAAAGAGGTAAATGTAAACTCAAACAATAAAAAAACATGTTTATGGAAAGTGTTTATTAAAAGTACTTCTCATACCCCTTTAAAAGAAGAATAACACACGTTTGTATCTAAATTCTATAAAACATTTCCAACAAAATCTTTATAGTATTCACAAATTTAATAAGTTTAAGTAGACGTTTCTGTTAACTGTAAGAAAGAATCACTGAATTACTACTGTAATCTATATGTAATTCTCAGTTTAGGGGTTGTGGAGATTGTTAATTTTTTTATTGAGATCATGAACGGATTGACGTTAGACCACCACTGAAAACCTGGAAGCACTGGACGGCCGTTTCATCCTATTGTAGGACTTCTCAGCAGTGCACATCCACGATCCCACTTGCGGGATTCAAACCCAGGGCCTTCAGTCATTGATTAGGTAAAGATTTATGTACCCAATTTAGTTTATGTGAATGCTATTTGATATTACACTTTTGATACCTTCAAGTTGTTGTTGTTTTTTCATTAAAGTTTTACCATTACGTAATTCAAAATAAATAAATTCAGAATAAATTTTAATTGAAGCGATAACAAAAGAAATAGAATAATTTAGTTGAATAAGCGACATGATTATAAATTTCAATGATTTCAGTTTAAACAAGCAAATTTACTTTATTTGCCTAAGTGTTTTATGAATATTTGTATAGCTAGAAAATAGCCTCTTATTTTAAATGACTATCAGTTAAGTTATTGAATTGAATTTAAACTGTTAACAGTGATACTGATATGAAAGTACATTCAATTGACCAAAAGTTTCAAATAGGATGAAATGCACATTTTGAAATCTATTGTCCAGGTTATTTAATTAAGATTAGCAAATAGCAAACCATATTGATCGACAAAATTATGTTATAAACACTTACTGGTAAATATCGCACAATTATTTACAAAATTTTATACAGGGAAAAACCTTAAAAATTGTTCACCTTATCTAATAAACGCTAATTTAACAATTACCGATAAATAATATAAACATTGGTAAGAATTTATCACCTCAGAAAACATATTAAAAAACAAGAAACAACATACATACTGAACCATAAAGGTAAAATAACACAACAACATGAAATGTTTAATATCCATTGTAAAGCAAAGAGAACACATAATCTTGTTTTGTTTTCAATATAACTAAATTTCTTAATGATGACAGGGTTTATATTTATTGACAAATTAAAATGTGTACATATAAGTAAACAGTAACCTTCCTCCTAATAATATTTTCGTGTCACAAACTTATAAATAATGACAATATGACATTGGAACATTGAATGGTGGTGGGGCTCTCCAACAGTAAAGCGATCGAAAGACATATATATATATATATATATATATATATATATATATATATATATATATATATATGTATAAAGAGTGCAGTTTAGGTAGTGGTATAATAATAATAGTAATAGTGGTATTATCAATTGAATAAATATGAAAAATCATATATATCTCGATGGATATTTCATCCAATTTTCATTTTCATTGAACCGATCCCAAATAAAGTATATGATCGATAATGATAATAATCGAGATAAAAATAAGAATAAAAACAATCATACAGTAATTAAACAACACGAATGGAAAATTCAACAATTAATGAAAATCACTTTGTTTTTTTTAAGGAAAAGAAAAACATTTGTCACATTTTGATAAAGATTTTTTTAAAAATAAAATTAATTTTTAGAAGACGAAGAAGAAGTACAATCATATCATCTAAATGGGAATATTGTCTGAAAGGAATAGCTATTGTACATTTACAGTTATCCTATGGTTATAATATTAATGGTCACAATCGCAGAGAAATACAAATAGATCAAATTCAATTAGCAAGAGCAGTATTACAATAAGGTTAGAAATCCCAAAGATATGCTAAAACACTACTATATATATATATATATATATATATATATATATATATATATATATATATATATATATATATACTGATTACAAAATTAACCATAGAATAATTTCTATACAACAATAAATATTTTTAACGTTCTTGTATAAACAAAGTATCTTTGGTGCACAAACCGGCAACTGTCAAAGAAATTGATTGATGCATTGATGAAAGACATAGATTAGGATGAATACGAACAATTTCATATCTACTGATTGGATAACCACGATATTCAAAGTATGAATGTAGATCCTAGTTTACAATGTATATTAAAAGAAAATCAAATTAATAACTGGAAAACAGCAACATATTACATAATAAACATTATTCATTGTGTAATAATAATAATAATAATAATAATAATAATAATAATAATAATAATAATAATAATAATATGGTATTATTAGCAGTGGTAGTATAGAAATGTGAAAGTAAATAATAATAATTATGATGACAATACTGGTGAAATGGGAAGCTATTAGTTAAAACACTTGGAATCCAACCAACAACTTACATGACCGAATCCATGTTAATTTACTACGATTACAACAATGAAATAATATCACTGAAACTTACACTTAAAAAAATTGTGATTCAAAGTCAGGTAAATGGGTCTGTAGATAATTAGTTAAATGAATTATTTAATACCTAATAGGTTGAATATGACAAATAAATCTAGGCATAACATATGTGATATAACCACTGATTCACTATAAAATACATTTTTACATCCTATATATGTTTAAAGCACAAGTTACAATGTAATCAACTCATTTCTTTAGAGAAAAGAGAATGAGGTAAATGTATATATAAACCAATAAGATAGCTTCATTTGAATTTCCCAGTATTTAGCTTTGAGATAAGTTGTAAGTCTTTTAAAAAATACACAACAGCAGTATATAATATGATTAATATTCTTAACCTGGCCGTCCACTGCTTCCAGGTTTTCCATGGTGGTCTAGCTTCAATTGACTCATGATCTCAACCATTAAAATTCATTTAGTTAAAAGTCAAATTTCTCAATGAATAAGTCATAAATTTACATCAGGATGATGCATAGTTCTAAATATGAAGAAAGGATAACGACGAAAATTATCATATGTTCAATGATCTTAGCACTTATTACAGTAGCAACAAAAGTCGGTTATTAGAGTAATAGTTTTGTGAAGATTGCTGAATTTTCTAGTTTATAATACAGACTGACTTTAGCTAGACGTCTATTGAAAACCAAGAAACACTGGACAGTTATTTTATGTTAGTATGCCATTTCTTACCAGTGGATATCTACAACCCAACTCAAGATCTTTAAGTCTTACAGCAGACGCTTAAACTTTAGATCCCCAAGCCGTAATTCAACGGTTTACATTTCTGACTTAAATCAATTAGTGATATTCTACAATTGCCTTCCGATGTCACTGCTGAGTAATTGCCTCGTACCCGACAAATTTCAGCTCATTTCGAACTAATCAATAAGATGAATTTGCCTATTTTACTTGGTACGTTGTAAAGTTGACTTAAAGATCCTGGATTAGATCGGTAGTGGGATTGTAAATACAAACTGTTGAATAGTCCTATAGTAAAAATGGGAAAGATGGTCAATGCTTTCCAGTTTCTAATTATTGTTTAACGAAGTTCATGTTGTGATATTGATCAATTAATTATTAATATAGGACCTAGCACGAATACATGCTTGGTATAATCTATGTTGCCAATCTTACTAAAAGAATACAACTGCAGTAAGTCATTTTCAGATTGTGACATTTCCTTTAAGTATTAATTTGCTTGTCTTGATGAAATTTCTCCGATAATAAAATGAAAACTGGTTTACTCTGAGCGACTCCTCACTTATCAAATTAAATGGATTCAGTGAAAACGGTCATTATTCACATGACTGTAATTCTTTTGATATTGATAAAATAGAGAAAAAACATTCGAAAATAGCTACATTTACTTGTAACTTGAGAGTAGGATGAAGTCGATGAACTTCACGACTACCATCGGGTAAACGAAAAAGTAATTCCATAACCGCTTCATCAGGTGCTGGAGTAGGTAATACGGTCAAAATATCTGATTTCAAATCATTATTGGATGTTGATTTATTTAACTTTTCTGATGGTCTTAACGGTCTTCTTGCTGTAATAAATGCTGTAGTCGACGAAACAAATGATGAACTATTGGGCTTTTTAGGATAGTTAACTACAACGCGATCATCATCTTCATATGTAATATGTGTGTATTGCTTTTTATCTTGTTCATGATCACGATGTTGTTGGTCAATATCAGTACCTAAACGTCTATTGCCATTCATATATTCTTCATGATTGTCATCGTCATTATCATCTTCATCATCTGTGAGAACTACCTCATAATCATCACTGAACTGAATAAAAAATAAAATAGTAAACGGAGAATAAAGGCGATTGTAATAATTCCACTCAAAAAGATGACCACTACGAGTCGTCAGTGAATAAATCAGTTATGAATATGATGAATAATAATATTGGAACATTGAAAATTAAACTAATGTAGCATTTTTTCTAAGTGTTGTATTTTCGGAGATAAAAAGTTTCACAATTATGAACCTTTCATTCATCTTTTCAAATAACAACATCATTGGTATACATACTTCAAGAAAAGAAGTGATCTATTAAAATGCTTTCTCACAAGTCAGCAATAAATTGTTCGAAGCCGATGGAATCAAACTGATTTCTTTGTAAATAATTGGTTTATTATCAACAATTCTCATTCCTCACTTCCTCCTTCTGAAGTATAGACTGATGACGTTATTTACAAAGACAATGATGTGAGCGACAGTTTACATCACATGCCAAACTTAGATAACTAGACGAAACCAGGAAGCATTAGAGAGAAGTTCGGTTCTCGTATAGAACTCTTTAGCAGTGGGAAATCCACATGTAATCCATTGAACAGTCTAAAAGTTAAGTGTATGTCATAAGATCTAAAGGTCATGGGTTCTATTCTCGGTAAGGTTTCGAATGTGCACTATTAGCAAGTTCCATACCGCAGTAAAACAATTGTTCAGTGTTACTCAGTTTTTAACGGCCTACGGTGTTACGGATCTAGGAACGAGAATGATTGAGCTATTCTACTACGACCGGTTCTCTTTGGAACTGACAACAGTCAATTATAGACAATACATTGAACCTCGACAGCTAACACAGGAAGAAGACATGAATGCAGGTAACTTAATATTTGTGGTAGAACAAGCAACTCAAGCGAAACTGGTGCAAAATTTGTCACTATATTAGCAGAATATAACCTTCAACCATGTATCAATTTAGCTAACTAAAAAAAACATGATAAACAATCAGAGGACAAAGATTATGCGGAAAATTGAACTGGTAGAAAGCATGCGAGTGATTATCGTTCCTGAAGAGATTTTAGCCTTTCTAATGAAATTCGACTTTTCTTGTAACCGCCTTAGCATATTTCTAATTAAAAAGTCTAATAGTAATTAGAATGAAATATAATGTTGGGAGGAAGGGAAAACAATAAAAATATGCAAGTGATAATGCTTTTACTTCTTGCAAATATTTCATTTTATGTAAATGTACACATGAGCTGCTGCTACTACAGTGGTGTATACTACTTACGTTGATAGATATAAGTAGTATGTAACACCAATCTGAAGTAGAATGCCTGACAGAAGAAGAGTGAGATCGAATTGGAGAGAACAAGGATGTAAACAGAGAGTAGTTGTAATAAAAACAGAATTGAAAGAATCATGAAACATAATAAATATTTTTTGTTCTATCTCAATGATTGCAAATAGTACATCTAATGTATAGTTTTCATATTTTTACGAAGAAACTCTGCAATTTCGCATTAAAAAATTAATTAGTTCTCTCCACCTGATTTTTGTTCATTACACTACTACTAATACTACCGTAAATTTCTTCAGAGTACTTTTTTCAAGCAAATATATATACACGACTTAAAGCATAAGAAAAAGTAATGTGAGTATAAAGTTCTGAAGATTGTTGAATTGCACTGAAATCATGAATCAATGTGTTAGACTACCGTTGACAAACTGATCATGAATGTGCACTTCTGAAAAGTCTCATATTAAAACGAAACGATAGTCCAGTGCTTCCAGGTTTTCAATAATACTCTAAAATTGATCGGCTAATGATTTTAATGAAAAGGTAATGTCAGAAATTTTCTTTCAACTAACAGGTTATCTGGTATTCATATATTTTACTAGTATATATATATATATATATATATAATCTTACCAATTCTCGTTTAGTATCCTTTTTAGATGCTTCAATAGCCAGTTGTAATTGTTCTTCTTCAGTTAGATCTAATGGACTAGTAGTTGTACTATTTACTTGAAATGAATGTACGCTATTCGACAAGTCGATATATTCAGCATCCTGGAAGATTTTAATAATAATAATATTAAATCTAAAACAGTGATCAACTTAAGAACAGGCTCAAAGTGATTACAAAAACAGACAAATTTTCGAATGCATTTGCGTTTCATTTTATAAATGTACCTTGTTTTTCACTTTATGATGTACAAATTGATGTATTCAGATTTGAGCTGTGTAATATATGTGTAGGTCAGTGTATTACAGGATTATCAAAGGCAAGATAAATTACGTTTCGAGCGATTGTTTTATTAGTGAAAAGCTGAATATTATATATATATATATATATATATATATATATATATATATATATATATATATATATATAAGGTATCCAGATACCGATTTATTATGTTTGTTTTTACAGTTTCCATGCAAATTTGAATAATAACCTCTAACCGCTTAGTTTTTATTTCTATTTTTGGACTAGTGATACTCTATCTGACTTTTTAAACTCATGTATATAGGAGTAAGGTTGAAAATTGCAACTTATAGATTTTTAAAGGATAGCTTAGGAGGAATATCTTATAATTTTCTTTATAATTCATTTATCAAGTGCATAGTTATGCATCCTAATTTTAGTCACAGTTCCTGTGAGTGTTACAACAATAACATCATCAAATCCAATAAATGAATTAATAACACTAAAAATAACAAACTTTTATAGGCTACTTCAACAACAGGAAATAATCCGGAATATATAAGAATGAAGAAATTAGTACCTATAAACGTTTTTATTACCTTAGACAACACGAATCGTAATCTATCTGGAATGAGGTGAGTGATATATGATAAACTCTGAGGGATGAATTCACAGAAAAATCTTCTACTCAACATTAAGAATAATAAATATAAATACTACTCTCTTGACAAATTTGATATCATTTCTAACTAGTAATATGAAACTAATTGCTAAGATGATTTGAGTACGCGTTCTCTTTTTTTTTTAATGTTAACTGAAACTAAAATAACCGTTCATCTAAACATTTAAACGGTAAAGGGGTCATCATAACTATTTACAGCAATTGTCTAGCTGAGTTCATTTATAACAGTTTACTAGAGGCGCTGTAAATGCTAAAAGTGTATAATTATTTATTAAGACAAGTAAAGAGTAATTTAATTAATTTGCGATAGTCATAATTTGTTTTTTTTTTTCCTTCTAGAAAAATCCAATATCTGTATGTTCATATCATTACTACATGATTATCTAAACGTTTTTTTATGTGCATTAAAGAGAACGTAGTGTCCGTTGCTATGTTAAGATGACACAGCTTATTCTAGCTTCTAGACAGGTCAATTTATTCATTTTTCTGGATTCACATTTTGACCTTGTCGGTTATTCGCTTATCAACTGTTGTCATATGAGCGTATGTGTATGCACTTCTTATCTTATCATATGTCTGCAGCTTATTTTTGTTCTGGCTATTAATATCGATTAACACTTGATTAAATCGAGTAGGTTCACATGCCTTCTCCACTGCGGAACATCTCGCATTGCTCTCATCATTTCGCTTTATTCGCTTCGTTTCTTTGATTGTCTGTCTGGATCAATGATTGTATGAAATACACGTATTCGAAATTCATTCTCGTATTAGACTTATTTAATTCCGTCATTCACTAACGCGATTTAAGTCGATAATTTTTTTACGAGGATTGACGATATGTATATTTCAAGAACATTCATTCATATGATCGACCTGGTGTCGGATATAAGCCACTAAAATGAGTACACAACTATACAATATCACAACTCCATAAATGACAAAATTATTTCACTAATTAATTCAGATACTCAGTATATAAGTGTATGAAGCTGACCACTGAAATCCTAGTACGATAAAATAGACATATCGGATCCAGTTGGTGAATAATAGCCGATAAATAAATTGTTGAATCAATAAACCATTGTAGCTAACCAAAAAAATATAATGATCTTTTAAAATTAAAATAAAACTTCCAAATAACATATATTTTATGATTTTAAGCATTAAAATGTTATACTAATCAAAAACTAGCAATTAAATTACAAGATAAGACTTCGTCCATGATAATTTTATATGAAAATGGTTGATTAGATTGAAATTACAGTGTACTAGTGATTTTAAGTGATAACCTTGAAACTGTTATGCAGCTTATTAGCCAATGATTATATAAATCGTGAAAATAAAGAATCTATCGATAAAAAGGAAATGTAACGAAATATATACGTGTACGTATAGAGCAGTTGGTTTCACGTAACTAACAAGTAGTTTTAAATTGACAATCAGTTTTACTTCCTCTTGAAGTAGGTTGGAACTCTACAGGAATCATTCATTCGAGAGGCCAGTATATGTTTGGATCATTTATAGGGTTATCAGTAGTTTTCTTATTATCTGACAAAATCAATGTGAAAACTTGTTGGAAGATCAAAAAAATGACACAACAATGATGTACTTGAATTTCCTTGATAGTCATATCCTAGTGAAGATTAAATCACGGGGGACTCCTGAGAGCTATTAATGGACTATCATATATATATATATATATATATATATATATATATATATATATATATATATATATATATATATATATATATATATATATATATATAACTGTTCAGTACCTAGATTATGTATATCTATATTCCTCTTATTATAAGCTTCATTTTGAACTATAGATTATTATGATACGATTAACTGTTGTTATGTTCAGTTTATTAATTACCGTCTCCCACATTCACAGACACATTTTGTATAAATGTCGTTTCCTATGTTATGATGTGATGTGGTCTGTTTGGCTGGTATATAAACCAAGTATGTTTGAAATAAATGATTCGCATAGTGGGAGTTGTTATTGACGTTCTGGACGGGCTAGAAGAACAAAGGACTAATAAGGACGCTAAGCTGCTCATACCGGTAGAAATTCATTGGTTTAGCACAGTACTAAGATTGAATAAGTCATATTTCGATTAACGAATAAATCACGTGATAATTAGACGACCTTAAAGTCACGACAGTTAACATAATACAGTTTCATCTTCTTCATAGGCATTTTCAATCACGACAAAATAAAATGTCGAGTTACGTTCATAAATGATGTGTGTCTCATAGCTGACTTCTACAGCTAACTTCCTCGTTTATATTTCAACACGATACAAAGTTAAGGTAAACATAGAAACTGTTATTCAACTCAATTACATAACTGATTTCTCAAAGTGTAAAATGATTTGATTGGTCGAATGATAGATAGTCAGGAAGAATAGGCCAATATTGATTTTTTTAGCTGATAACAAGTCATTGAATCCAGCCAGATGAGAACATATTTTGAACAAAAAAACAATATAAATTAGTTTCTTTTTCTTTGCTTCAATAAATGTTATGTTATAGTGATAAGACTTCTGGAGTACGTGAGCAGATTGGTGAATTTAGTCAGGCAGAAGTATCTAAATTGCATTTTTTTTTGTTTGGAATGTCAATTTTTAAAGATTGGTAAAAATCAGAGTTTCAAAACCATCAAGAAGTACTAGAAAGTTGTAGAGCTTATCTAAGAATACATTTTATTTGTACAATATCCTTGTTTATTTTTGACCTTAAAAATAATTTCAAGTACTTTATACAACTTAGTCCTTAAATTTATGAACGATCTCGTATAAGTAATTTATGCCACGTTTCATATTTGTAATGTTAATGTGACTAATTTCGTCTACTTTCGTCTGAAGAAATTGTTGAAAATATTCTGGATACAAGAAACAACTTTTACTCATATGAGATTACTGACTTTTGTGGAGCAGGTTAAATCAGCTGCACAATGTAAGTTGTTTCTAAAGAGATTACCCTGACTCATAAATTATGAATCCTAGTCAATCAACAGCACAATACTAGTCAGGTTGGTACACTAGATTTATCCCTAGTCACGTGAACTGGTTTAAAAGAAACGAAGATCAAAAGGTTGTGAAGTGTGGAGGTTTTGGCTGCTCAGCAATTCCCACTCGAATTCTGTGCGTGTAAAAGTAACTCGATTTATTATAGCTCTAAACCTTGATTTTCTCTTTTTCACCATCTTTTTCTTCGTCCTGTTCACCTTCTTTACATTCATCAAGTGAGCATAAGTATTTCATACTTCTCATAAACATACTAGCTTCATTTCCGAGCATTATTAGTAACCTAACTACATTCTACTTTCTAATATATGTATACATATGTATGTATATTTCTGATTAGCGCTTTTTAACACAGTCCTCTCCTACGGGATGTGGTTGCTAACTCCATGCCCAACACTTCATTATCCGAGGTCGCGACCGGCAGTAACCCTAAAAGGGCTCCAGACGGAATATATATATATATATATATATATATATATATATATATATATATATGCCAGATCAAACCGTTGATAAGGAAATATTTCACCGGATTCTTTTCACTCTTCTCTACAAAAGTGAAATCGCTGACAAATATCTTCGATGAATCTTTTTTCTCTCTGTACCCAACTTATATTTGGTGTCGTAATAAATTTTTTTCCTTTATACGTTTATAATATCCAGATAAGCATTCATAATAAAAAATTTCGAAATTAGTAATGTATGCGTTATACTTACCGATGAATATAGATTGTCAGATGTTTGTAATCGTGGCCTTTTCAAATTTAAATGAATGAATTGTTGATGCATTTCTGCATTCGCTGCTTCTGGTGGTCTTCTTCGTATACCAGTTTGAGGAACAGTATTTGTAAAACGATTGTCAATACTAGTTGAATCTGTTCTACCGTTTCCAGTAAGGTTAATACTACCAATACTACTACCGTATTGACCATTATTAATAGCAGTAGTGTTGATTACATTTGTATTGTTATTCGGATTAGTTAGCGCAGTATGTTGTATAAATTGATATACTATAAGATTATGACAGGAATAATAATATATAATCAAAACATTAACAAGTTGAAAATGAGGACAGTCTTTAAAAAAAGTACTGTTAAAAGGCCTAGATCAAATAACGGATAAAAAACACATTCCTTTCAAATTAATCCACATATTCATAAGAAAGATTAGTGAATATTTTCCATTTTGTGGTTTGCTCTACAAACTGATTACACCTAGAAAATTTTCACAACCCTTCTAAACTAATGACAATTTTTATTAGCTCATTAGTAAATAACTTCGAGATAAATTCTCAAAATTCTATTTAGGAGCTGTAACTGGTGGAGTTCAGTCATGTCGGATGTAAGACAGATATCATCGATGCAAATAAACAACGGGCCCGCAAAATAGCGAACTGATTGAAGTTAGAATTGTAAACCCCTGCATATTAACTCAAAAGTCTGAATTTAAGGAGTACGTCATGGGACCTTCAGAGGTCATGGGTATAATGTGTTCGCTTGTCCCATACAAGGCCAAAACAACTGTTCAGTATGCCTTCTAGTTTTCAGTATGTTCCAAGATGAAATTAGACCGTTTCATAAAGTACAAATATGCTACATTATTTAGTGAGGATTTACGTTTATGACGTAATTCTATAACACTATGGAATATATTAAGTCAGTGAGCCATATTTAATGTAAGATCTTAGGAAACAAATGTCTACAAATTACTAAAGTCAGTCAGCTACAACGTAGGACCAGACACATATATACATCCGTCCAAGTTGCCATACCGCATTAGCACAGAAAGATGAACACCCGATTCATAGTAGTTAATTTAGTGGTGGCAATATATATAAAAAAGAGCGCATATAACGATATAGTATATATAGAAGAAAGAATTAGTTCGTAGTAAGAAAGATATGAAGTGATTTTAATCTCATAATTTAAGGGAAGACAGAGAGTGCATACACCTACGTACGCCATCGTGATCGATTCTGATCCATGTCACCATGAGTCTCCAACATTGGTTAAGATAGTATTAAACTATAGCAGTAAATAATACGAAAATGCAGACAATCTAAATAAAAAAAAGCTAATTGAACTAATTCTTAACGAAACATGAAAAATAATTTGTATATTTAACAGGTATTATCGGAAGAATTATCGAATATTTAAACAAAGATTTCTAGTTAATCAACGATGACCGAATCGCAGCAACAACAAACCATTTTGTTGTAAACAGTGATCGTGTTAAAAATCCCTCATAGTAGTGATTTTTGATTGCACAAATATAACTGGAAATTTATGGTTTATTTATTATTTTGAAAGTCTTAGATATGCCGATTATCAAATGATTGTTTATTGATTAGGATTCTTAAAGAATTAACTACCTTTCAAGTACATATTTATAAAACACTATGGAAATCCATTGCTTTCAGTACTTTCTACAGGTTTGCATTCATTAGTAAACATATTACCGTAATAATCAACGCGGTGATTGGTTTATTAAGTAAAAGAACCAAAGTTTAGAAGAAATAGGTGCTTCTCAATTATTCTCTACTGTCGCAACTTTAACATGAAATAAATCTTCATATCGTTGAAACAAACAATCAAACGTGAACACTCACGAAAGAATAAAAAAAAATCCGAATATAATTGAGTAAACAAATAAATAATGAAGAGGATTATTGTCAATTCTATCGATGAAAATAAGAGATTTATCAAATGTGGTCTTGACATTCACTGGTGAAAACTGCTATTCTTAAACAATTCTGAGTAACATTTTGGGAAGCAGATCAATGCGAAACACCATTTCCCTTCAATTCACGAAGTTTTATTTATTTTCCTATCGGCTGGTTAAATTTGTCTCTAAGATCATTTTTACTAATAGTAAACAATTTATGAAATTTTTTACAAGTATTTCGTTTAACGTTTTTACTAATGTCAATAAATAACTTTATTTCTAATACTGGGACTTTTTATGGGTCTGAAAAAAGAGGTAAACGAAACCAAGATATAGTGATTCGTAAAAGTTTAGTTGTAAATACACGGACATGAAAACTTCTAAGCACATAAACGTTAACTGATCAACTTCCGAAAGTTTGTAATTTCCATAATGATACTTGACAGATATATTGATGTTACAGATAGTCAGTTGATAATACAACATAACTTTCAAGAATAATCAACTGTAAAATACAACCCAAAGGGTTGTCGGACTGTACTTTGAAGTTGGAAATGTGAATTGTCGATTGCAGGCTCAGTGGTTCGAAATTAACGAGCTCACCACAAGACCTCAAAGTCCTGGGGTTCGACCCCGTGAGGATTCATGAGTGAGTACTCTTGTGAAATCTCAATGTAGGACGAGGTTAATGCTTCCCTAAAACTACCTAAAAACCAAATGAATTGATTAGTGTAAAACTAAGCATAACTAAAACTGAATGCTGTAGCTTATCTCTTTGAATACAACACGTTAACGATTAGTTTGGAAGACAGAAGAATACTATTAATTTGAAATTAATTCCTCGGAATCCGAAAATCAGTATTGAGTACATAACGTCTCAGAGTATAGTCCTTCATCATTAGTCCTAAATCACATCATTGAGTATTTGACTCCCTTTTTCTTTTAGATAAAAAGATTCATACCATGACTGATTTTGAGAATGGAAGAGGAGTATTTCTAATCATCTTACATAATAAATAAGTCATTTCACCTATTGACTTCATTATTTGCCTTAGTTTCTAGTCAAAGTAGGCAGTAGGAAGCTAGAATATTGATTGAATAATCAAGCATGCAATCTGTATACATATTTATTGACTGCATTTCAATGTTTCAAACACGCACACATACATATATATGTAGTAATGTGTTCGAGGTATTCGTTGAATACATACAAGATGACTGACAAAATATCAGGTCATTCATCTACGACACATTGATTTATATATCCAGACTAACTCAAAATACTTTTGCTAATAATCACACCAACACTGTAGCAATAGTATTGTACACTTAGCCAACCAGTCAGTGGGAGGATTAACAACCACGATGACGATGACAACGGAGATAGCAAAAACGAATAACATTTGCAAGAGAAGAAATTTAAGCTTAGGTTGTCGTTCTAATACTCGTCAATTCACCATGAATGTCAACATGGAAACATACATTTTGCAGATATGTATTTATACATAGACATACACATATATGTATATTAATAATAACATTCATCCAGTATGAAAAATGGAGAATGAAAAACATGCACGTCCGCACATAACTACAGAGTGATTGTATGTGTGTGTGATAGAAAGAGCTTGATCTACCATTTAATGATCACATGATTGCTTATGTGAACTTCAAGTACACATACAAACACGTGCGCGCGCGCATTTATCGACCGGATTAGGATGACTGTTATGAATCTGTATCTTTCAGATAAGCCAATCAGACATTATTCTATAAACATTCAAGTAACCGACACTGATATATTATCCCCAAATGCTCTGTACTCGAAGGTAGAATACAACATTTGCAGTTGTAAGTAAAAGAATTTAAGGTCGCATTTAATCAAATCATAAAGACAAGGCAACATAGAGAATAGAGAAAACCAGTTCACATCTTGATGTTAAATTGTATACATTTAAGATTGCATGAATAATGATTTAAAATAGTTTATCACTTAAATTTTTGTGCTGAGAATTCTATATTGTACCAAAATATAATATTGAATAAAGCCATAAAATAAACGAATAAATACGGAGTAAATATTTGTGTTAGGAGGGGTTGTTGAAACTCTGGATCTGGATTTCTTACGATATGCGGATCGACAGTAAAATTCATCTACAATAATATTGAAGAAACAAATGTTCTCTGTGGAGTGGAGTCCGTAATCCAGTCAGTGACGATAAAGTGAGTCATTCATGGAGTGATTAATTATCAACTAGAAACAACGTGAAAAGAATCAGAATGTGTACACCGATTCAGATGTTCGTATCAGCAAGTACAAATATCATATGCAATAATATTTAGCATTTTCGAGTACTTTTCTGCTGATTTAGTGGGCCACTGCAGCACACGAATGTAATTTTAGGTTATCACACGTCACAACAGGGGAGATAAATAAAATAAAGAAACTAATCTTAAAGTTGATTAGATAGATGTGCGTAAACGGAAGAAAATCAGGTGATAAGGAATTAATAGGTGCGTACACAACTAGGAAAATCAAATAGCTGCGGAAATGAGGATATACAACTTAGTGGTGATCGGAATCAGTGAAACCAATTGGACCCAAGTTGGACATAAAAGGTTAGATTCGGGAGAGATGTTGCTGTACTCGGGTCACGAAGAGGAAAATGCTCTGTACACTCGGGGAGTTGCTCTGATGCTGTCCAAAGAAGCACGTAAAACACTTATAACATGAGAATCTCGTGAACTCAGCATCATCAAAGCATCCTTTGAAATAAAGCGGGAGGGGATCACAATGAATGTTATACAATGTTATGCACCCACCATTTATAGCAACGACGACGAAAAGTTTAGTTGACCGATATCTGATTGTTATTGAAATATAAATATCGTCAATCCTCAAATAACATTATCGACTTAAATCGCGTTAGTGTACAACGGAATTAAATAAGTCAAATACGAAAATGCATGTTTAAATATGTATATTTTGTACACTCGTTGATCGGAAGAGATAACCAGAGAATCGCAGCGAATGAAACGAAACGACGTGCAGTGGAGATGGCGTGTAAGACAACTCCATTTAATCAAGCGTTAATCGATATTTATAGTCACAAAAAATTAGTTACAGACATGTGATGAATGAGATAAGAAGTGTACACATATACCCTTACATAAAAAGTCAAAATTAATAAGTGAATAATTAATAAGGTAAAACGTGACTCAAGAAGGATGAATAAACGGGCCTGTCCAGAAGCTAGAATAAATTATGTGGGCTTAACCGACACTGCACAAGGACCATTTTAACGAGAGGCTGCAATCGATCACAGCGAAGTGCTCAGAAAACGACCCGACCATCCTGATGAGGGACTAAAACGCCGAAGTTGGGATGGAAAACATTAGGTACGAAGATACTATGGGACAACAAGGATTGACTGAGAGAAGGGAACGAGAGTGGTGACAGATTTGCAAATTGATGTGCTTGCATTTCTTCAATTGACAGATAATTCCCACTTAAACATTAAAATTAAAACACGAAGTTCAGCGAAGGGATTTCTTTTCAACGAATTTATTATCAAGCTGTACAATCGTATATATATGAAAATTTTTGTTTTTGTAAAAGTACTAATTCTGTGAGGAAATGTGAGCACCAGTTCACCTGCTCTTGTGGAGCAAATACATTGGCCGTAGCCAGCGTTCGCTTTCAACTCGGATACGGGAACATATCCCAGCTTGGTTCTATAAGGATGAAAGAAAAGCAGTTAGGAGTTCTATAGTTGAACACCTAATCGACTGTAACAATTCTACGGATCCACAGTTTGATTTTAAGGTTGTTGATATGATTCGTTCAAATCTACCCAGATTTCTTCGTATCCAACTCTTAAATAGAACTGAAGCTCTTACAATCCAGGAGCTTAAACCAGAACTATGCGTACAAAAGAATTACGTCTTATCGTTAACGTTACCTTGGCCTTAAGTATTTTGATTATTCTATTATTATTATTATTATTATTATTATTATTATTATTATTATTATTATTACTGCATTCCTCCTTTACTTATGTCTTACATTCTCATTATTTTATTCGTAAATGCTCATCATATCACCTTATTTATTTTTATACCTTTGTCACCTTTCATGACCTTTAATTATTGTAACAAAAAACAATTTAATCATCTTATATTCACTATATCTATTGTTATTATTCGTATTACGTAACCTAGTATAATAATCTTTCCATTGCGACATCTTGGTTAATTGTGTTCACATTTCCTCACGGAATTAGTACTTTTAGAAAAGCAAAAAATTTCGCTGAACTTCATGTTTTAATTTTAAAATTGATGTGCATTCATCACAATGCTTATAGGTGCCAATGTATTCCTACACAAGCGCATACATAAAGCTACGTGGGTATCATCCGATCACATCACGGAGAACCAGGTTGATCATATTTGCATCACTGAAAAACTTAGGTCGATGGAAGACGTGAGAAGTAGGAGTGGAACTGACATGGCTTCAAATCATCACCAACTGGTGGTTTTCATGATGAAATTGAAGCTAAAGAAGTACTGGACGACTGGAGAAACAGCATTACAAAGGTTCAATACAGCCTTTCTTCCGGATACTGACAAACTCAACGAATTCAAGATAACGCAACGACAGGTTCCAAGCCTTAAAGGATCTACTGAAAGAAGAAACTACTATGGAAGACAACTGGAAAGGGATCAAAGAAGCCTTAACTTCAACGTGTCAGGAGGTTCTGGGTCGCAACAAACATCATCATAAGGAATGGATCTCTATGGAAATCCTGGACAAGATTTAAGAAAGGAAGACAGGAATCAACAACAGCCGAACAAGAACAGAGAAAGTTAAGACAAAACATGAATACACAGATACAAACGAGCAAATGAGGAGCATTAGAACTGACAAGCACGAATTTATGGAAGACCTAGCAACGACAGTGGAAGCGACTTCAAGAGAAGGAAATATGAGACAACTATGTGACACAATGAAGAAACTGGAAGGAGAATATAGTAAGCAAGAGAGACTCGTCAAGGATAAAGAAGGTAAGCCAGTCACCGAGATTCAAGAACAGGGGAACACATGGGTAGAATATTTTGAGTAACTCTTGAATGGACCAGCTCCATTGAAAGCATTCAACAGTGTGGATAGGAGGACCTTATGGAAACTCCACACGGAATTCATACGACTGACTACACTGCAAAGTCGTGCATGGAGGACAGCTGACAGATACGTTCCATGTGAGGACCGGAGTCAGACAAGGGTGTCTACTCCCTCCCGTTTTCTTCTGGTGGTCGACTGGATTATGAGAACCTACACATCTCAAGGGAAACGCAGAAAACAATGAACAGCTTGCATGCAACAAGACAATTCGCACTTCACATATGACCTAGCTCTTCTATCCCATACATACCGACAAATACAAGTGAAGACTGTCAATGTATTAGCAGCATCTGCATCAGTAGCTCTCAACATACGTAAGGGAAAAGCAAAATCTTCAAGTACAACATGAAGAACACAAACCGAATCACACTTGATTGACAAACTGTGAAACAGGTGGAAGCTTTCACATACCTGGACAGCATCATTGATGAACGTGGAGGATCCGACGCATATGTAAATGCAAGGATTGGAGAAGCAAGGACAGCATTCACACTGTTGACGAACATGTGGAACTCAAAATAACTGTCTGCAAGCCAACACCAAAGTCAGAATCATCAAGACGAACGTCAAGACAGTCATTTCTACTGTACGGAGCTGAAACTTGGAGAACTACCACAACTATCATCACACAAGTACAACTATTTATAAACAAGTGTCTACGCAAGATGCTCAATGTCCGTTGTTGACCGGATATCGTCAGCAACAGTCTACTGTGCAAGAGGAAATTAGGAGAACACGATGGGAGTGGATAGGACATAATGCATTACAAAAACCATAAAACGGAATAATGAGGCAAGCGCTAACTCGGAATCCTGAAGGAAAACGGAAAAGAGGGAGACTGATGCAACATGGTGTGTTGGGAGTCGAGAGCAGACATGAAAAGAACGAATAGCAACTGGAATGGATTGGCAAGGACAGAGTTCGACGTGGAGTGGTTGTGAGCGGCCTATGCTCCTCCACGAGGGGTACCAGGTGTGAGTAAGCAAGCCATAATGTTCAGTAAAACGACATTATCATGTTGACATCGCACCAAGGAATTGATGGAAGTATTATGATGAGTAGTATAAATTTTAGTAGTATAATTGTTGAGTGACTTACTTTTTTTATATGAATCTGTTTTACTTCAGAAATATCTACTAAATTTTATACGCATATGAAAATAGGTTTCGTGACATTGATGAGCAATACTAGAATACCAATTTCATCGATTTACAATAAGTAAAAATGCATTGTTTTGCTGTATACTCGGATCTTTAGCTATAACCTTAATGTTCCCTATCACTACTTATACTTTCAGTACCTCTACCATTATGGGATTTGAATCGATAACTGAATCTCTGTGCTAATGTGGTATGGCAACTCGAACTGATGTACGTACGTACGAAGTTCCACGTTTTTACTGACTGACTGAATAAGATTGCTTGTGTTCCATTGGAATGATCATTTATTAATAAGCATAACGCATGTAATGAGGTTTTTCCAAAATTACGATTTATGTGAAAGATTATTAACAAGATGTTACGATTTGTAATAAAGATAACTAATTTTGAAAATTATATTTGAAATAATCTCAGCGATTGAAATTTAAGTAATTTCAACGTTTCGTCCAGCAAACTTGTCTGAACTTCATAGTAATTATCACAATCAAATCCTAACATTCGGAGTTTGATTTTTGTAAAATTGTTCGTTCTAATACTAAAGAATATTCGTATGAAGATAACTATTATATATGTTAATTTTAAATTAATCAGATCAGACAACGATTTTCATAGATCAAACAGCATATTAAGATTCTATGATGAGTGTACTTAAGAATCAAGTAAACTGGATACAAGGGGTTAGTATCAATTTACATAAATCTAACTTTGAATAAGTTATAACTAGTAATTCATCAACAAATGAAACTTCCATGCAGGAGTTGTAATTTCCAAATTAGCTGGGATACTACTGAAAACGTTAACCACAAGACCTAAAGGTCATAGGTTTAATTCAGCGGTGGGTGTACATTATACAGAAGTCTAAAATATTCCGATGAAAATTCTATCCAGTACACCAACAGATATCAATCCATGATTGAAAACCATACGCAAACTAAACAAATTTACATAGCATTCGATCAAAACTTTCAGGTATTTTAACGTATTTTTTTCTATATTTAGTTATATTAATCATAGTGTAAATTAGTAGTTGAGTCTGACCGTAAAGTACATAAACTGTTAGATAATTAATTACGAATAAAATTAATAAAGCACTTACAGACATCATATACAATCTTAGGATCATTTAAATGCGTCCACATCATTTTCTGCTCTCCTGTAAACGGATCCAAAATAGCTATATGGGAAGCTGATTGAACATATGAATAACTGCTACGGAAGCGTAAACCTTCAGAACTATCCACAGGTATCTGAATAAGCAAAAATAAAATTATAACGATAATTCATTATATATGGAAAAATATATTTGAAATAACCTCAGCGATTGAAATTTAAATAATTCCAACGTTTCGTCCAGCTAACTTGTTAAACAAAGTACAGTTATGATTGTTAAAAGCTATATATTTCTTTGGTGATTTTGATTATTACTCTGAAGAAGTCCAGACAAGTTAGCTAGACGAAACGTTGGAATTATTTCAATTTCAATCGCTGAGGTTATTTCAAAATATACTGTTTCATATATAATGACTTCTCTATACTCGGCGCCCAATTTCTGTCAAACTATTCGTTCTAATCTTGACGAATATTCGTATAACGATAATGACCTTGATAATCAAGTCACACCTATAAATCATAAACTTCAATTGATTAGCTTCACTTTTAAACCTACTAACAGCATAGTAAAAGAAAGTTTGCATTAGGTTAAGATGGGATTTGATACAATACTGAAGGCGATATTGTATGAAGTAGCAGTTTGGTGTTGAAAGGAATTAAACAGCTTTTAATCAGTAAGTTGCAAGTTCAAACTACACTAACTAACTTCTAGAAAGACTGTATGATTGAAAATTGGGATATATAAACATGTACTTAATAAGTGAGTTATAGAAGAACTCACGAAATATCACTTACTTTGAGCAGCTACATAGTAACATTAGTTCTTTTAAATGTTATACAGGTCAAAATGAGGTGAGTAAATATAGACTTAGAGGAAAACGTTACTGAAAAATTGTTATATTTCAAAGGCCGCCGATTAGAGGGCAGTGACTTATCGATCGGATTAAGGGATTCAGAATCTCGATAGGCTATTCTGTCCGTTGTCCTTGACTCAACGAACTCGATCAAGAAGTCTCGGTAAGACGTAGAAAGTGTATTCTACAGGCAACCAGCAAATACCAGGTCAATCACGCACACAAATCAAGGGCATTTATACAAATATATAAAATCGACATTGTCATATAAATTTTTAAACATTCATCAATAAGATCGTCAATTGAATACCATTCAAATATTTACACATTTAATCGATAAGTTAATCAATAAGATGAAATTACAAATGTGTGTTTGTTGGGGGGTCTATCGTCCCCAACACAAATATATATCAACCCTTCCTATTCGTGTATTCATAAATATGAACAAGGGTAAATTGCACACAAAAAAGCCTTGTGAACTGAAGCACATCGACACAGGAAATTTTAGCATAAAGCAATTGACAAGATATCTTCAAATCAAAACATTACTCTAATATGAGTGACACCGGTAAGTTTACTAGTATTATTCAAGGTGATAATAATATGATGGGCAATAACCTTTTCGTACGTATATGGTCGTGGAGTTCTTTGAGTCCCGCAGAAATCATGAAACGATCAATGTTGGACAACCATTGAAAACCTGGAGTTCAACCATATCAGATGTGAGGCAGTTACACATCGGAAATAATAGATGGTCGCGCATTATCGTGGATTGATTGAAGCTAAACATTAACACCGTTGGATGCCAACTCAGTGGTCTAGAGTTTAAGTGTTTGCGTGCAAAACCTACGGTTCTGGGTTCAATTCCCGCGTGCGGAGTCGTGGATACTTACTACCAAGAAGTCCCTTACTAGGAAGAAACGGTCATCCAGTACCTTTTCAGGTTCCGACAAAATAAAAGACTTAAACACTCTTCCTATTAAATTTACTATCCTGAAGTAACAGTTAAATATTGATTTACTAGTTATTGCGTATAGAAACGGAAACACAGTCACACAATGTTTCAATAACTAATGTCAATATACATATCAAGTCAAAGAACAAGTAATTTAGTCAACGAATTCTTTTCAGTGAGTTCATTATTAAAGCTGTACAAATAAATGTGGTTTTACACAGTGGATGGTTAAAGTTTCTTAAAAAAACGTAAAGTAAGTTTAAGTGTAAACATCGGAAAATCTTTAATTGGATCTTCGAAATGATAAAGTATGAGTCTGAGAAAGAACTCACTACATGTTACAAAAGAGAGGATCCAACTAATTACTTTTTCTTCGCTAGGCTACGCTAGAAGATAAATATGTATACATACGATTATGCATATTTGAGGATTTGTTTCGTGAACTAATCGTTCTACTTTTGATAGTTTCTGTGAAATAGAACATTTAACAACTGAGAATATATTCGATTTATGCAGAAATATTGGTATCAATAGGGAGGAAATGTTGAACAAGTAGATTATTGATAGCAAAACATGTTTATGATATCGATTTGTAGTTGTCGCACAAAATATTTTGATTGTAGTTACATCTAGTAATAAACGTCTCGTTCCACTTTTTTCCTTTAAGGATGCGCTGTGTTGGTGTAATAGGTTAGAGTACAAGCCTGGGAGGAGCGTTTGCCTGCATTCACTTTTTGGTGCGTGGTGTGTTAGTAGTCAAAAAGTTGGTGGATCTTGATGGTTATGTGAGTGCTGGTGATGATGTGTTACATAAGATTATTTTGCACATAATAACAGTCATAGCGCCGTTTTGATATTAGTCTGTCTGTAGAAGGTAGGGTTTATAACACAGTGACAGCAGTTCCATTCTATGCTTGTCAAACCTTGCCACTCAAATCTAAAGGTAAATGAACACTCGGTGAGACTATCATTTATGGACGAACCAATCAGGTTTAGGATAAAAGGTCTTGGATTTGGACGCGAAATTCATTCAACCATTTAGATAAATAGAATTTTGACATTATAACTGATGTCAGTTCGTGATGAAAACTGTAAATTTGATTCCTGACCCTAACCATCAATTGTGAATCAAAATCCTTACTCTTCACACAGGTTTATAACTCTCATTTAGCTCTAGCAAGTAGGTGGACATTCTCGAGGCCACTTTAACGTCGCTCGAAGGTCGTCCATACATTATAGTCTTACCGAGAACTCTGTGTTTGATTATTACTGTCTCCAAAGGATAGTTGGCATCCAGTATCATTATCGTGTTAGTAATATTGAACTTCAGAAATACGCATTTGGGTGCCGTGATGACAATGCAATTTGTGTCACCATCTTGAAACGTCGGCTTTGATGGTTTGGTTATGTTTTAGGAATGTCACCAGAGACTTCCAAATCGCATATCGTCTGCAGAAGCCGAGGCTGAGTAGAAAAAGCGGGATGGTAGTCAGCTTAGGATATGACTCTGCGGTATGAAATCACATAGAACTGGTTTCTGTCGACCCATCAAGACCGTTCCTGTTGGGGTCCTGGTACGTTACCGGATATAACTGAAAATAGGAGCCAATGGAGATCCTGATGAAAGTTTTTAGATCCTTCATGAAAATGAGATGAGCTTTCTTAAGTGAGAGGAGTATTTCCTGATTGTATTTTCTAATGTTATATCCTACACTATTTTTAATCACTTATTTATCCATTTATTTTGATTAGACATTCTTTTCCTACCTTACATCTTTAAAATATCTCCTTGTTTTGTGTGGCGCACAGTATTATTGTTGCTTAATCGTACCACAATTTGTGTATTACATAAACAACATAACAAGCTTATACTAAGTGTATACGAATCACCTCTGCTTTCTTTCCTTCTGTAGTAAACTGCCTGATCAATAGAATACTTTAAGGCAAGTGGTTACCTAGCAGTCGGATTAAAACAAATAGTTGTTGCAACATTTGTGTACAGGAAGAAAATGAATGGCATACAATTCTAAAAACAGTATTCTACAACTTATATTATATGAGTATATATTTTATACTTACTTGTACAAAAGTACAATGGCGTTTAATAAGTTGGTAGATTTTCGGATCTTTCCAAACATCACGATTTAGCAGATGACACTCAAAGCATCCTTCATCATGTATACTAATAAGTAACCATTGATTTTTTTCTTGTGCAGCAAGTTCAGCCTGTTTTAAAATGGAAAAAAGTGAGTTCGATGGGATGGAAGACATAAGGTTATATATCATACACAAATAAGTAGAGAGGTGACTTGATGGTTGAAATACACAGCTCCACTGTTCTCAAGTTTGAGGTATGTTTCACCTACTTCGGTTTGGAAAGCCAAGTAGTACTACTAGCCACTATACAGACACTATAGCTCAAAATCGAGTATATAAACATGTGCTCAGCCCCCAAATGCCCTGGTACGGCCGAGAGTGGAGAGAGTCCGCTCACCCTCTCGAAATGCTCTCACATGGCCACGAGTATATAGCCTCTGCCAGGGAAGTCCTACTCACTGCCTTCTCGCGTAGGGGTGTTGTTTACCAAATTGAGAAGACGAATAGTGAATATCCGGCAGTTTAACCGGGTTGATGGACATGGAGAGTCCACCGAGAGGAGTTGGAAAACCCTAATTCCAAACCAATGGTGAACATGGGCTCCAGTATCCTGAATGAACAAATGGCGTATGAACCAATGGTTGGTCACCGGCTACCATGCGACTGCATCTCCTCACGATGCTCCACTGCCTTGTGGATCAGACCTTTAGGTCAAAGGCTCGGGGTGTGGCCTCCAAAGAAAACCACCCGCTTCGATTTGGGCAACCGGGCAGTATCACAACCCTCACACAAATCAAATGAGATTAGTGTGGCGCATATGTATTTGGTGCCTCCTTGTACCAATATCTATGTGTTCAAATAATAATAATAATAATATTAATAATAATAATAATAATAATAATAATAATAATAATAATAATAATAATAATAATAATATAGACTATAATTATACATTTAGCTAAACTGACCCCTATTTCAACTCATTTTTGATGGTTTGATAACCATTTATAAAGTAAAACACAGCACAATTGGAATTTTGTCATAACTCAGTATTCTAGGTACTTGAGTTTTTGATAAGATAAAAAAGAAAGAAGATTTAATGGTCATTTTTCGACTCTTATTGTTATCACTACTCACACATTATTTGGTAAGTAACTCATAAACACTCAACCTTAACTATATAACTTTTCATGGTATTTTTAATTCCCTAAAATATATTCCATCAGTTAGCTAATAGTTTTTCCCCCTAAAATCTATTTAAGCGAAATTTTGGTAACTGTATCAGACAAACAATATTGATTTATGAACTCCAAATCATTCAGTAGAATTTTTTTGATAGACGGTTAGCTTGTAATCAAGTATTGTGACATGCTAATACACGCAACTAATGTGCTTTGGTTATCAATTTCGTGGATTGGCTGGAGTTAGACATTAACACCATTGGATGCCGGCTCAGTAGCCTAGAGATTAAGCGTTCGCGCGCGAGACCGACGGTCTTGGGTTCGAGTCCCGCGCGAGGGATCGTAGATGAGCGCTGCTGAGGAGTCCCATACTAGAACAAAGCGGTAGCTCAGTGCTTTCAGGTTTTCAATAGTGGTCTAACGTCGATCAATTCATGATCTCAAAAACTATTACTCAGAGCACTTACAGCTTGTACTGTCCCATCAAACAATATCTCGACTGGAGGTTGGTAAAGCTGTTGCAAATGTTTTCTTTTTCTTTTAACACCATCTTTAACTCCATTAATATGCCCCGAAGAAAGTGAAGAAGAACCAGAGCTAGTGCCATCAGTATTTAGTAAATTCGAATCAGATCCATTATCGTTTGAACACCGTTGTTTAATTGAATGATCCTTAAAAATAAACATATATGATAAAAATTGTTTAAGAAAGAATAAATGTTATTTGTGTAACTAACTTTGTGGCTCAGTCTACAGGGTATGCAATAAATTTACTTGTAGCTTCAGTGATAAAGACAATGAACTCACTAAATTTGTTCAGACAATAATAGGCAAAGTGAAGGCAAATATTACAAGTGACGCATAAAACTTTGTGGATATTTTTTAATACAGCAGGAATTTAAACTATAGGATGAAAATTAAAGAGACTCTCCTGTCATTTAAATCAAATTCTTCTAAAATGAGCGTTACACGTGGCTGACTATGGATTTTATTTGAAAAGTGTCAAGAAAACAATTAGTTTTGACTTGAAAGACATAGTAGTGATCATTAATAGGAATCACAAAACAATGTTGGTGGACCTCAGTAAGAACTCTTAGAGATCAGCTCGAATAAAATATCAAGTATACATTCAAGAGACAGTCAGCTAAGCACTTAGTCAACGATGAAGATGTTCATTTGGAGATAAACTTGTATGGTCAATAATCATATTTCAGAGCAACAGTAATGTTTACTAGCAACTTAATTGGAAATGCTATTAAGGGATAGTGAAGAAATGAAAAATTTCTTGCCTCAGAAGATAGTCAATATCATACAGAATTCCTATGATGGATTAAACTGCAAAATCGTGCATGGAGGACAGTTGACAAAGTCGTTCGAAGTAAAGACCGGTGTCAGGCAAAGTTGTTTACTGTCACCCTTTCTCTTTCTCCTGGTGATCGACTGGATCATGAAGACATCAACATCTGAAGGGAAGCACGGGATACAGTGGATAGCTAGGATGCAATTGGATGATCTGGCTCTTCTATCGCATACACAACAACAAATGCAGGAGAAGACAACCAGTGTAGCTGCAGCCTCAGCAGCAATAGGTCTCAATATACACAAAGGGAAAAGCAAGATTCTTCGATACAACACAACATGTACCAATCCAATCACAATTGACGGAGAAGCTTTGGAAGATGTAAAAACCTTTACATATTTGGGCAGTATCATCGATGAACACGGTGGATCTGATGCAGATGTGAAGGCACGGATTGGCAAAGCAAGAGCAGCATATCTACAACTGAAGAATATCTGGAACTCAAAACAATTAGCAACCAACACCAAAGTCAGAATTTTCAATACAAATGTCCAGACAGTTCTACTGTATGGAGCGGAAACCTGGAAAACTACGAAATCCATCGTCCAAAAGATACAGGTGTTTATTAACAGTTGTCTACGCAAAATACTTCAGATCCGCTGGCCGGACACTATAAGCAACAACCTACTGTGGGAGAGAACAAATCAGATCCCAGTGGAGGAAGAAATCAGGAAGAAGCGCTGGAAGTGGATAGGACACACATTGAGGAAAACACCCAACTGCGTCACAAGACAAGCCCTCATATGGAATCCTCAAGGTCGAAGGAGGAGAGGAAGACCAAAGAATACATTACGCCGGGAAATGGAGATAGATATGAGAAAAATGAACAAGAATTGGATGGAACTAGAAAAGAAGGCCCAGGACAGAGTGGGTTGGAGAATGCTGGTCGGCGGCCTATGCTCCATTGGGAGTAACAGGCGTAAGTAAGTAAGTAAGTAAGAAGAAATGAAACCACAGCTAAATTAATTGGTGCTTGTGAAATTATATAGATGGATTCCGAACAAATTATCACGCGCCTACCTGAATCATGAGAACGACAAACCAGAGATAACTAGCCTAGTTTCAGACCTAGGCACTATATATATACGTACAATCTTTACATTGCACGGGGTTCTGAAGCATATACCAATGGAAGATTACAGTCCTATTTTTTAGACTTAAGGGTTTTATTTGACTCCGTTAATCAAGAGTTCCTGTATTTGGGCCATAAATCGAAAAATCTGTCGAGCATCAACCTAATGTGAAACTACTACCGCAATACAATTGATTGGATCAGAGAGAACGGATTATATTTGCCCAATGCACATTTTTATCGAGTTCGACATTGCTTATGATGGACTTATTGTGCACAAACAACAGTTAGAAAATAGATGTAACCCTAAGACGTCTATTGTTAACATCTTCCTTTACCACAAGAACAAAAGAAAGGATATGTTGACCGTTTAGTTAGCCCATGAGTCCCCGAAATAACTTGATTAGTAAGTAAGCAACGAACTATGGCTGACATCAATTTTGATACGTGAATTGATCGCCCAAAACAACCAGGGTCATCGATAGCGAAACATATAACTGAAATGGGGCACAAAATTGATATTAATACAGCTTTTAAAACGTTGTATAGAAATTGTCAAGGGCGAATCCTCAATTCATTGAAGCCTTGGCTATTCGTAAATTTAAGCCCCCCTTATGTGTACAAAAACAATTTGTCGTAACCTTGAATTTACCTTGGTAATACTTGAGTCATTCTATGGCCTAGGATAATGCGACAATTTCTTATTATTTCTCTCCCCTTTGTTATATTTTTTGTTTGTTCGTTTGTACTTTAACTTTCATGTAATTGACCTTTATTAATTTTATATAAAATGCTCTGACAAGTATATGTGTGACCAGATTGTTCGAAATGTATAGCGCAAATACATCACATTCTTCAGATCAACTCCGTCTTCTCATTGTTCTATCGAGATACTAAATGTCCTACTTTAAAGCTAGGTTTATGCAAAACTAGCCCCAGAGTTGTACCACATGCTTGCTAAGTGCAAACAAATTTCAGCTTATAAAAAATAAAGCGATCAATATGATTGAGTAATTGGGTCATTCAGATACGTAGAACATGATCTATACAACTAAATACCATTAGATGTTAGTCAAAACAATGCCTAACCGAAGATTGTATAATTAACATGAACATACTGATTTCGAAGCTAACTGTGACTTTTCAAACGACTGGTACCTCACACCACTGGTCACTGTATCATCATCTGAGTTATCGTCCGAATCCTCAGCAACGAACGCGCGTCGACGTGTTTGCAAGAGAGGTGAGTTTTGCAGGTGAACAGGAACTAGAAATTCAATTAAAAATACAAGCTTTATGATAACTAAAGCCTCACGAAACAAAAAACTGAACATAAAATTTGAACAACATCAATTGAAAACTATTTCTTAGATTTGATATGTGTCCACTCTCAATTGATTGATCACTGGGTGACCAATATCATGCGTGTCTAGTCCTTATTATTAGTGCAGATCGAATGCTATCGATCATGTTGCAATGTGGCCACCAGTCTAGGTGACTCGACACCGCGGGCACTATTGTAAGATTAGATGGTGGTTGGAGGTAGTCGACAGGACTGGTGGCCACATTGCAACATGATCGATAGCATTCGATCTCCACTAATAATAAGGACTAGACACGCATGACATTGGTCACCCAGTGATCAATCAATTGTGATTACATCTCAGTCCTACAGGAGGTCGGTCGCGGCCCGGATAGCTCAGTGGTAACGTCTCTGACTGTGAAGCTGGGTGACACGGGATCGAATCCGCCACGGAGCACCAGTTACAGGTACACCTTGCTGACGAGTGCCAAGTAACACGAAACCCGGGTCCAGGGTTTTCTGTCGACTACCTCCAACCACCATCTAATGTGTCTACTCTAGAATAAATAAGTATAACTACCGTAAAGTCCACAGAATATTATCAGTCAGCTACAACGTAGGACCAGGCACATATATACATCGGTCCAAGTTCCCATACCGCATTAGCACAGCAAGATGAGCACCGGATTCATAGAAGTAGTTAATCCAGTGGTGGCAATATATAAAGGAAAGATTGCATATAAGGATGCCACGTTTTGGTTTGGCCACCCCTAACTTTCTTCCAACCATCCCCAACACTAGTCAGCATTGCGCGTCATGGTAATCGGTGTTTAAGCATACGCATAACGTGGCCCCACCATCTCAATCGATGAAGATCCACAACCTCACCAACTGATTTACCGTCATTCTCTAATACCCTGAGTTTAATTTCACTATTACTCACCTGGTGATCTCAGAAGAGGCGAGTATTATTTCTAAGACATCTGTGATCAAATACTAGTAACTTGCGAGTATCTTTTGCTCCTAATGGTCACGTTTCGCAGCTGTAAAGTATAACAGGACGAATCGCCGTATAGTATACTTGTCCTTTAATTAATAGACAAATATCTCGTCTTCGCCATAGGTGACGTAGGTTGACAAAAGCCAAACGAGCTTTCTGAATCCATGTAGAGATTTTGTCAGACACCACCCCGTTAGGGCTGATCAGACTTCCAAGATAAGTGAAGTTGTTAACGCGTTCGACTATTTCACTCCCTATCCTTAGTTCAGGTGTTGACGCAGACCAGTCCTGAAGCAACAACTTGCATTTAGAAGGAGAAAAGCGCATTCCGAACATTCTGGCATTGTTGCTTAGTGCTACTAAAAGACTCTGCATTTTGTCAGCGTCTTCACCAAACAGGAATATGTCATCTGCGTATTCTAAGTCGATAAATGGACCTCCGGGAAGGAGATCAATACCCGAGAATTCAGTCGATGAGAGTTTTATTTCCGTCAGTAGGTCTATAATGAAATTGAACGAACATGAAGATAGAGGACAGCCTTGTTGGACATCACTTGGGGTTGCAAAATCAGATGACAGTTCACCATAAGCTCTGACTCGACTGGTAGTATTCGAGTAAAGAGCCTTCACAAGGTTTATGCACTTCTGAGGTACACTTTTCAATGACACACTCGGTCTAATGCTGCTTTTAGGTCAAGAGAAAATATCACCGTCGGACGCCGATAAGCATGCCCGTGTACTAAGATCTGACGAATGGTGAATATATGGGCGATGTAGCCATGACCAGGTCTGAAGCCAGCCTGATTTTCTCGTGTTTGCAATTCATGAGTCTTTGTTAGGCATCCAATAATTATTGAAGCTATCATTTTAGATGCTATACTAGTTAGACTAATCCCTTTATGGTTATCACAGGATGATTTTGATCTTTTGTTATATATTGAGACAGCTAGCGATTGAGACCAGTCAGATGGGATTACATCTAGTTTCCCGATTTTGGCTAAATTATTAGTCAACCCAATTTCTAAAACTGGACCACCATCCCTAAAGATCTCCGGAGCCACTCTATCGGAACCAGCTGCTTTCTCTTTTCAGATTAGTTATAGCTTTCTGAACTTCAATTAGAGTTGTTTAAACTACTTGAATGTTTCATTCAGGCTGTTTGAGAATGGTGGGTAGTTATAAAGTAAATGAATACCAGCTGAGCTGCTCCTTAAAGCGTTCCGCCCATTGTTCTAAACGTCTGGACTGGGAGCAGATAAGGGTGCAACCTTCTTTCGAGATAGTCTCACTTACACTTGAGTTTTTAGTTCCAGTTTCTTATATCAGTCTGAAGAGCTGTCTTGTGTTACCTACAGCCACCACCTTTTGCATTTCATTTGCTTTCAGTGTCCACCACTGCTCACGGTCGTTCCTTAAACTTTTGTTTTCGCTCTTCATCGTGTTCACAGCCTGATGGGATGAGTTTACGAGAATCTGTCAGTGCTACAAGCATAATAAAAATCCACTGGTTTTTCGTGACCCTTTGATTCAAATCACTAATAGATGTCACTGCTGTTTCCACAGCTTTTGTATACCTTTCCAAGCAACATATGGGTCAGCTTCGTTTTCAGAACTACCTAAATAAGACCTCAATCGTTCCTAGAATGTACTTATGGCTTTCTCGTCACTGAGTTCAACTCTAATGGGTCTTCTTAACGTGGCTTTTCTGCGCCCAGTGAGGCGCAAGTAAATGCATGCTCGTATTAAAGCATGATTTATTTATTTATTTGAACACAAATATTGGTACAGAGGGGCACCAAATATATATGCGCCACACAAAACAATGAGAATTTAAGAAGGGAAAAAAAGTAAGGAACGAAGGGGATTATAAAATAAAAAAAGAACAATAATGGGGGGAGACGAAAAGGTACACTCAGCAGAAATCTTACATTTAAGGAGGATACAGCCACTTTTTATGAAGAAAGTAAAAGAAGGTTACAGCAGGATCGCCATTGGCTTCTATTCTGAGCCATATCTGATAACGTTTATAGCCACTATGTTACACCATCTCTCGGACCCCAACCAGGGAGTCGTGAAGGGCCAACAGAAGCCAGCCCTTTGCAGCTTTCTTTCATACCACGACACCATGTCATACACTGACCACCTCGTTAAAGCATGATTAGAGTCTAAACATGCACTCCAGAACGAGTGGCAGTCTTCTATAGAGCCCCTCCAACGTCGACTGATGGCAATATGATCTATTTGAGTCCATCGTTGGTTTGGTGCAGCGTGTGCCATGTTAGACGATGTCTCTCCTTATGCTTAAAAGGAGTGCGTGCTAAAAATAAACGATTGTCTGAGCACATTTGCAGCAGACAGTCACCATTATCTGTTCGCTGAGCCGGAATACTAAAATACTCACCTAGATGTCTTTCTGTTTGGTTTAAGCTACCTACTTGTGCACTAAATTCACCTGCCATGAGTAGTATATCTGAACATTTAGCTTTTTGAAGTTCAGAAAGCCTTTTGTAAAATTCACTTCATCCGGGCTGCAGTCAGAGGAAGCGTAGGCAGAAACTACGAAAAGCAACGACGTGGGTCTCTATCCTTCCAAGTTCTTACAAAACCGTGTAGCCAGACAGCACATAGGAGACTGTTAAGAGGGATTCACTCTAATAGTGCCTGTTCTGCCCTCGTACTTAGTGTTATGCTTGCACCCGCCAGTCCACGAGAACTAGCCATCTGATCGCCAGATACACGGAGGGTGTATATCGTCGGCTCTGCGTTTTGCCGAGGTGAGGTCAAGCGAATGACCACGCTAGGATCCTGTATGCGTGTTTCGGAGACACAGCATACATCAAGGTTTTAGCCAAGGACCTGATGGTCGATCTGACAGGGTGCGTACGTTGAAGGCTCCAAGTGTAGTTTAGAGCGAGGTTTCAGTAGACCTAGGACAGTGTTTCGCGCGCTAGAATCGTTGGCCATGGTGTCAATTAAGGAGTAAGCCAAAAGGGAAAGTTTAGAGTTGAAAGTCGATTTAGGAGGAATAAAAGGAATTAAACAGGAAGGTTGATTACGAATACAGTGGTCTTGAGTGGTGTTAGAGCTATGACGGCGGTTTTCACTTCCCGGTTGCCCACACCGTAGAAGGGTTCTGCTGGAGGTACCTGAAAAAAAATTGGATTAGAGGTGGTCATAATGACCTGAGAGCGTGACCGCATTGCCCAAGGGACAACTGCTTGAGGCCTATAACACACGACCTTTTTATGAGTAGTTTTTGTGTTAGCTCCGTACTTGTTGGGACCTTACAGCCGGAGATGAGAATCCGTGAGATAAGGAGAGGTGTGCATTTTTAGGGTCGATCTTTTCTAACCCCACTCTTCCATTGTGGGAAGACAGCATCGCTGTTATGCTGGTTGTCTGAAGGAAACACCTTACTGCTGTCACACCTCTGTACAGTCAGCAGTACGACTTCGCCTTCGGACCTTGGATTTGTTTCCCCCAAATGCCCTGGTACGGCCGAGAGTGGGGAGAGTCCGCTCTCCCTCTCGAAATGCTCTCACATGGCCACGCGTACATAGCCCCTGCCAGGGAAGTTCTACTCACTGCCTTCACGTGGCGGGGGTGTTGTTTACGAAAATGAGAGGACGAAAAGCGAATGTCCGGCGCTTTAACCGGACCCCAAACCAATGGTGCACATGGGCTCCAGTATCCTGAAGGAACAAATGGCGTATGAACCAATGGTTGGTCACCGGCTACCATGCGACTGCATCTCCTCACGATGCTCCACTGCCTTGTGGATCAGACGTTCAGGTCAAAGGCTCGGGGTGTGGCCCCCTAAGAAAACCACCTGCTCCGGTTTGGGCACCTGGGCAGTATCACAGCCCTCACACAAATCAATTGAGATTTGTGTGGCGCATATGTACTTGGTGCCTCCTTGTACCAATACCTATGTGTTAAATAAATATAAATAAATAAATACTTGGATTTGTTGCTTTTAGTCTTACCGCTCTTCAACCGACCTGTCTGGTATGGTAGGACCTTGAGGAACGATTGTTTCAGTCAGTATAGCGCAACTGGTTCATCATGACAGACAAGCCCAACCACCACGTCAAAGTAGCGGCAACGGTCGGAACAGAATATTATTGTTATTCCTAATTGGACCCCCAAAGTTCTGGCACATGAATCAAGAGACTTTTATTGAATATCAAATGCAAACTCAATTTCGCAAGTGCATTTGATACATACATATACAGAAAACGCAACAAGCCACAATAATTTGAACATATCAATTTGAATGCAATTTACAATTTTTTATGTTCAGACACCTTACTTATCCATTTGATATGAATCGTTGAAAAGGATAGCAGTACTGTGGCATGAGCAGATGTCTTTTTGTTCAGAAGAAAATGCAAAATATAACTTGTTTTCTACTTACTAAGTAGTTAGTTATCCTAAACCGTAAGTTTGAGTACATCTCTAATGAAAATCAAAAGTATACGGAGTGCTAACTGCTTCATTGACATGATCTATTGATCATAGAAAGAAGCCTATAAGGAGGAGTATAATGAATAAAAGCAGCCAAGTACAAAGACATCATAACCAAGAAAATTAAAAATTTTAGGGCTGCTAGTGAAATAAATTAGATACTCTTTACATCCTGGTGGATGTCTGGATTCAGGACATTGACTACTCACATGCCAGTGTCCATCTAGAAGTAACGAAATGTTTTGTCATTGTACAGCCTGTCCCAGTGTTACGACGGTCTTCATTGAGAAAGATAGGACAATCAGATCAAAATATGACATCCGTTTATGAAACGACAGATCGCTCCACCAAGCCTTGTAGGGAAATCTATATTGCTTGGTAGAGGTCAGTGCCAATGCTTTTAATTGGTTATCCGTTTGCCTAAACATTATGTGATTAACAGAGTAAATCTGGAAAGTTTACATTAAAAACAAACGGATTAACATTGCTTAAAAAAATAAACATTAGTAACTTTAGCACTATCTATTCATTGAAAAGATCTAAATTATTGTTAAAAATAAGATTAAATAACGAGTCAAGTAACTTCGGTGAAAACTTTCAGTTCGAGAGCAGTAACCCTGAACATGTCAACAATACTCAAACGAAAGCATCATACATGTGAAAAAAGGCAATACTCTTATGTCATTTTAGCTAACAAGTGATTAACTAATTCGATTTCATGTATATGATTAGGGAAGAATTTAGAGCGTACCACCAGCTCTTATGGAGGGCATTAACATCCCTAAGCGAATCAACGTTAAGCAAACACAGACCATGGCAAAAACTGAAAATAGTTATGAAAGTTTTGGATGAGATGAAAAACAAACACGTAAACACGCTTTTCTCCGTGTTACATGTTGGAAAGCGGTTACTAACGAAAAAAGAATGACGGCGCAATACAAACGTCAAAACTGAGATATGATTCATGTCTGTTGAAACTAAATTGTGCTTAAGAATTCACCATATTACCACAGCTGTCAGATCTTGAGATATTTACAAATCAGACCACAAGCACAAAGTTATTTTTCTAGCAAAATGCTCTCTCCCTAGCACTTGTAAAACACCACAGGAGGTAAAACACACTGCCATTTAAATTAAGTTACAATCGAATAAATATTTACAAATAAGTTGACCGACTTACGAAGTGGTACAACAACGGGGAGTAGCTGTTCGTTTCTTTGAGGAATAGGAGTCCGATATTCCTCTGTTGGACCCTGAGGAGAAACCCTGCTCGGATCATCCATGTAAAGACTAACAGCCAATTCCAAATTATTATTACAAGCTGACAAGAATGAACGGGCAGTTTCTTCGTCAGACCCTGAAATACATCAAGCACTGTTACAATGACCTACCAGTGACCTGGCAGAATTCTCGAATACATTTTGTAGACACTGTGTGAGACAGCATTTTGCTGTAAGAGGGCAAGACAAGTCAAGTGAAGAACATTTAGTCGATGGAGAGGTAATGACCCGCTGTTTCGCTAACTTTCCAACCTTGCGCCTAATTTATGGTTACAAAAGCGATCAGTCTTCACTAGGAAGGATAGAAATCTTTATGATCTATATTATCTTGCTAAAATCTTTGCAATGTGGCATTGTAATATAAGTTCTAAATTTTACATATTATGAAGGCAACACGAATAGCGTTTTGACTTGTGACACAAGAGAACCCAATCTACTAATATGCGGCATCGTTAAATTCCTGGTGAGGTTCATAAATAACCCGTCAATGAAGATAAAGTAAACATTCTAACTGCCAATCGCTTCATCACGTTATCTGATAGCTTACACTTGGGGTTATCTCTGAAGTATGGGATAGCTGAATTTCTGGGCAATTATGCGTTGGTTCGTTTGTAGCGGTAAATAAATCCCCGAAATATGTAGCTCTGTAGGTCTTTGACACTTGATGCTGACCCCATTGATTTTATTAGACTCACTTAGTTGAAATTGCTCGATGATGCGACCGCACCAGATCACGAGTGGGTACACCGAGCTTCACAACCACTAGCCAGTTAAGATTGATCACTCCTCGATATATCGACATCCTATCAAATATATATTTGAATCTCTTCGCTTCTGACTTCTGATTTGACTGAGTTGGTATATTTAGATTTTAAAAGATGTTACTGGTTAAGGCAATGTCAAACTCCGAATACTTGTGGCATATTTAAGTTCAACTACAAAATTTTTAAAGCTTCTGTCAGAACTTGGGAAACATTTGTCTCTATCGCAAGTAAACTTCTGATTTCAGTTTTTCAGAAACTTTACTTGCTTTACCTTCGTGATGTGACCGTGTAAACAAGTTGCTTTATTTGTGGTCCTATTATGTTGTTAAATGATATTTCCAGGTATTTGATAGCATCCAAAAAAGGAAATATAAGTGTCAGTAGAGAAATATTGACCGATGAACAGCACCCATTATGGTCTTTTTCATTACCTTCAAAAGTGTACCACGTGTCAAGCCTCCTACATCAAAGATTATGACAGCCAAAGAAAGGTAGCTAGGAATATTGTATTAACTGCTACTGGCATAAAGACATGTGACTTTGATTTCAAGGTTATTTACCTCCGTGTATAATGTTAGCTGCAGATTCTCTATTTTTATCTGCTAAATTATGAACTTTTATGTGCTCGACCAAGGCAGATCTATTATGCTTGCTTCCAACTACATGTCAAGAATGTCATAGTCATAAAACAGAAAATTATTTCATTTATTTTACCTCTGATAGCGACTAAAGTCACTGACTCGGTAACCGTCAAACCTTTATTTCAAGCATAGGACTTATACATGCTACTTTTACGGCAACTTTAGTCGTAATATATAAAATAATTAAACGTCAGTCCATAATAAACAATCAGAGAATCCAAAGATTATCCCAAGGTGACACAGGTGATGGGTAACCACTGCAATTCATACGACATCCAATAGTTTAGGTAAGAGACAACAGTATGTGTGAAGCAGTTTTTAAAATTGTATGCATACAAGCCCTCTCATATTGCAAACAACTCCATACCACCTCATTTACCACGTATTGCAGATCATATTAAGGATAGCGTACAATGCATCACTTACAATTGTAACATCGCTGAGTGACCTAATCACTTACTTACCGTAAGCACTAAAAGTCTCACGGACCCAACTGTCTGAATTTCAATAAATATCTGAAAACCGGTCCCTCAGCTTAGAACTAACAGAAAATTATGTTTGACAAATTTTTTAGCTTTTTCATCCTAGTAATAAAACCTCAGTTCTGTTGCTAAATAATAAATATAGATGGCTAATTTCTATAAGGATGTGCAGTGGTGACTGAGACAATTTGCATCCAACACTTAAGACTTAAAGAAGGTCAAAAAGGGTATACACGAGAACAATTGGTCAGCATGGCATGAATCGACCATGCAGGCGTGGTCACTATATGTAGCTTCTTCCTTTTCATATCGGATATACGATTCTGTTCTCAGCCCAAATGTATTCTTCAGAAGCGTTAAAAATCATATTGCTGATTGTCACGATAGGTTGCGTCAGTGTGGACTATGATGTGACTTCTATGTAACATCTTACAGATTAGGTAGTAACAACATGGCAAATCAAAAATTTTGAGATTAAATCTATTATTCTAGTAGCATATGTATTCAATATTCTATTCTCGTATTTGACTTATTTAATTCCGTTATTGACTAATGCGATTTGATCCGATGATTATATGCGAGAATATACGACGTGTATATTTCAATAACAATCATTCATACGTTCTACTTAAAGACAGATCACTGGTCACTAAAATGGAGAGCACGTCGACAAACATCGTCCGATCTAAATGACGACAAAAAAGGACCCCGCTAAACCTTATACACAATCCTTCTTTTACATATTACCACTATTGAATTAACTAGTTCTGTGAATTCGGTGTTCATCTTGTTGTGTTAGTGAGGTATGGCAACTTGGACAGATGTATATATGTGCCTGGTCCTACGTTGTAGCTGACTGATTGAATTATCGAAATATGGTATAGAACGTTTAAGCTGTCCTTAAATTCGAAGTCATCAAGCTGCATCCAAGATGCCAACTGAATTCCGTGCCTCCTCCAAGGTGTGAAATCCCTCACAGTTAAAACAATCACAATCGATCCTGACGGAATTCAGCCTGCTGATGAGCATCTACTGAGCCTTTCATTCAGCTTAACAACGCACATTTCCTGGTACTGATAGTAGTGTGATGCTCCTGTAGTTCCCACACTTGCTGGGATCTCCCTCTATATCTTGATGAGATACCCCTTTTTTAGTCTGTCGGTATTTACTGTTCTCCGAAATCTCTCTCAGAACAATATGGAGCATCTTCGCAGTTACCTATGTACTCGACTTTAGTCCTTCTGTTGGTATACTGTCTTGTTCCGATGCTTTTCCATTCTTTACTTGTCTGGTGGCGATGTCATCTATAGGGAGACATATATGTTCTGCTTCGATGTTCAGTGAGTTCGGTGGGGCTATTCAAAGGTTATTAAAAGTGCTTCTTCCACCTGTTCTGTTACTCTTGAACCTCAGTTATTGGTTTTTCTCCTTCATACTTTACTGGTTCATCTGGTTTGTTATATTTCTCTAGTACATTGTTAACTGCATTATACGGTTGTCGAGTATTTCATTGTCTTCGAAACTGGCGTAGTCACCAGGGCTTTTACGTATTTCTGATTATCAGCTCTAATACTCCTCTTCACGCATAAACGTTTTCTTTTGTTCAAAGCAATATCAGGTTGTTTCTTTTCGTTTCTCCAGCCACTCGAATGTTTCTTTTGGTCTTTCACATTATGCAGATATTCCATGTACCTACAGTGGTTGTTCCTGTGGTTTTCAGACAATGCTATGGTTTACTGGCTTGTGGAGAATCTTGGCTTTCACCATGAGGCGTCATAATTGTTCTAAATAAAGATCCTTTAACTGCTAGGGCAGAGTTTGAATAGTTTGGGTGAACATTTGGTTTACGTTTTTTTAGCAAAGTTTCTCTCTATTTAGTGGTGTTCTCAACGTGATGCCCAAATTTCTCCTTTCATCCGTGCTTGAGATCAGCAGTAGCTCTGGAACATCCCCACGAAGGGCAGATTTATTCGCCAGTTCAAATATTGAAAGTTTCATCTCCTGTTGCACTATTATGCACCAACTTTGTGACACCCCGCCATTCGATTGTGATTATCTGTTAGGCCATGAAATGCTCCCGCTCAGTGAACATAAAATCTTGATAAGGATTTCAACATCTCAATCTATTAGTCATAGAATAAAATAAAATATCCGTACTAATTTAGAGTAATTCCATCAAGTGCTCCTTCAGGTAGAATGGGTCCAGTAAAACAAGTAGGAGTAGCGTCAATATCAAAGACTTACGGGACTACTTATTTTGGGAATCTGTTAACCGCCTATTGAAATTGGGTCATTTGTGGTGAAATAGTGAAGTTATGATTACTTAGTATGATTTTCTATTATTAAGGTAGGTTTTAAGTAAGTGCATTCTAATAAGTCAAAGAAAACAAGAGTAAACATGGTATAAACGGACAACGAATTGTATGAATGAACTTGGTTCAAAAGGGAGCCGAAAGTATAGGACTATGTGTGATTTTAAAATGTAGGACTGAAGACAGTACTCTGATACACAAATGGATAACTCACTCTTTTGTTGAAACTACTTCAGCACATTTTTATTCTTGTTGATTTTATAGGGTCATGAGCAGCGTTCTCTTTTAGAAAATTTTCTATTTTTTCTTGTAATGGGATTACTTGGTAGGAAGTTGTTAGCGATATTTATTTTTCGGATTGTAGCATGTTCAATGAACGATTGCTTTGGTGCACTCTGATTGGCTAATTCATATCCAATCAGCACTAGTCGATACTTGGAGCACACCAGAAATCTTCTCGTGAAAAAACTATAAATATTTTAACTTTTTTTCTATTGTGCTTCTTACTTCCTTCTAACCTTGTTATTTGGAATATAATCTCTTTCCTGTTCAACCATGTTCTGATTTGGGGACTTGTTAAGTGAGTTGGTGTCCGAGAATACTAGACAATAGGAATAGCTGGGTCATAATACGAGAGAATTATAACAGAAGTGAAACCAACTGAACGTCACAAACACGAGTTAAAGAGGTACTTCGCATAAAAAACGGCACCAATACCATTGGTTCGTCACGTCCCACTTGACTGTAAGGAACCGTAATTTAACAACATGTCCTGCTCAACAGACATTAGTGGGTTCAAGTTATCTCCCCACCATCATGTTTGCTGGTCAGTAACTCCACCTTCCCTGCACTTGTGATGTTAGGCTCTCTTAAGTTTGTGGTGTGTATGAATATTGCTCTAATTAAAACCCATAGTTGGAATACACTATCTCTACTAGTTCCATGTTTCATGCAAATCGGATGGTTG